ACCTGCTGAATGGGAGAAAATATTTGCAGACTATACATGTAACAAAAGATTAATATCCAGAATACACAAGGAACTCAAATAACTTTATCGCAAAAACAAAAAACAAACAAATAATACCATTAAGAAGCAGGCAAAGGATTTAAATAGACATTTCTCAAAAGATGACATAAAATGGCAAACAGATATAATTTTAAATGTTCAATATCACTAATCATCAGGGAAATGTAAAGTGAAACCTCAATGAGATAACATCTCATCCCAGACAGAATGGCTTTTATGAAAAAGACAAAAAAAAACTGATGCTAGTGAGAATGCAGAGAAAAGAGAACTCTTATACACTGTTGTGAGAATGTAAATTGCACCAACCATTCTGGAAACAGGATAGAGGTTTCTCAAAAAAAGTAAAACAACTAAAACTAAAAAACTACCATACAATCCAGCAATCTCACTACTGAACATTTTTCCAAAGAAAAGGAAATCAGTATATCAAAGGAATACCTGCACCCTATGCTTACTGCAACACTACTTATAATATCCAAGATATAAATCAACCTAACTGTCCATCATCAGATAAATGGATAAAGAAAGTGTGGGGCTGAGCTTGGTGTCTTATGCTTTGTAATTCTGGCACTTTATGAAGCCTAGATGGGAGGATCACTTGAGCCCATGAGTCTAATACCAGCCAGAGTGACATAGTGAGAACTTGTCTCTACAAAAGAAAATTTTTGAAATTAGCTGAGTATGATGACAAATGCCTTTAGTTCCAGCTACTTGGGAGGCTGAGGTGGGACAATGGCTTGAGCCCAGGAGGTCGAGGCTGCAGTGAGCCATGGCATGCCACTGCATTCCAGCCTGGGTTACAGAGCGAGATCCTTCCTTAAAAAAAAAAAAAATTATATGCGACATAAGGGAATACTATTCTGCCATAAGAAAATAATGAAATCATGTAAGTTGTGGCAAGAAAGACAGAGCTGGAAATTACTATATTCAGTGAAATAAGCCAAGCTTCAAAAGGCAGATAACACACATTCTCATTCATATGTGACAGCTACAAAAGTTAATCTCCTGAAGGTAGAGAGTAGAATGAGGCTGGCACAGTGGCTCATGCCTGCAATCCAAGCACTTTGGGAGGCTGAATTGGGTGGATCACTTGAGGTCAGGAGTTCAAGACCAACCTGGCCAATATGGTGAAGTGCCATATCTACTAAAAATATAAAAATTAGCCTGGTGTGGTAGTAGGTGCCTATAATCTCTGCTACTTGAGGAGTTAAGGCACGAGAATCACATGAACCCAGGAGGCAGAGGTTGCAGTGAGCCGAGATCATGCCACTGTACTGCAGCCTAAGCAACAGAGCAAGACACCATCTCGAAAAAAGAGAAAAAAGTAGAATAATGGTTACCAAAGGCTGGGAAAGGTTTAAGGTGAGGGTGGTAAGGAAGAGAGGTTGGTTAATGGGTATACAAATAAACTCAGATAGGAAAAATAAAATCTAGAAGGGAAAAAGGCAGCAAATCACACAGCCACGTGTGTACCTATGCAACTACATTGCATGTTCGTCACATGTACCCCAAAACCTAAAATGCAATTAAAAAAATGCAATGAAAACGTTTTCAGGAATCATATAAGTTAAGGAATTAAGATAACATTGATAACCTTTAAGAAAGCAATTTGAGTACATATTTGTCTGTTTTTCCAAAACTACTGAAATTATATACATATGTGTGTATGTAAATAATTATATATATAATTTAATTTCCATAAAATAAATTTTTAAATATGCATTAAAAAGTCAGTGTTCAAAAGCACAATAGGATGACTATAGTTAATAATAATTTATTGTATATTTCAGAATAGCTAGAAGGGTTGAAATATCCCCAACATCAAGAAATAATAAATGTCTGAAGTGACAGATATCATAAATACCCTAATTTGATTATTATACACTGTATTCATGTATCAAATTATGACATATGCCCCATAAATATGTACAATTATATACGTAGTAAGAAAAGAAGACTACTTGCCTGTTTGGACCTGAGAGGGAAGGCAAGTACAAGGAAGTCTGGTCATGAGGTGAGAGCATCATAGAACAAAGGATAGCACAGCAAATTTTACCTGGTCTGTTCTGTAATTAAGAGGAACCCATCTTGATCTTCACATAGGGTTCAGTTTCAAAGCAGGCAAACCAAAAAAAAAAAAACTCCAAAGAATTCTTTAAAACATGACTCGGCCACTGGGTTACTATGTGCTCTAAAAAAGTCAGTCTATTCCAGAAACCATGTTAGATTTTATGATCCTCCTTGAGCTTAGAAATAGAACGTTTATATTTAGATCAGAATTTCTTTTTTTTTCTTTTAATTTTTTATTGGATTTTAGATTTTGGGTACATGAGCAGAGCATGCAAGACAGTTGCGTAGGAACACACATGGCAGTGTGCTTTTCTTTCCTTCGCCCCTTCACCCACATTTGGCATTTCTCCCCAGGCTATCCCTCCCCACCACCCCCTCCCACGGGCCCTCCCCTTTTCCCCCCAATAGACCCAAGGGTTTAGTACTCCCCTCTCTGTGTCCATGTGTTCTCATTTTTCATCACCCGCCTATGAGTGAGAATATGCGGTGTTTCATTTTCTGTTCTTGTGTCAGTTTGCTGAGGATGATGTTCTCCAGATTCATCCACGTCCCTACAAAGGACACAAACTCATCATTTCTGATTGCTGCATAATATTCCATGGTGTATATGTGCCACATTTTTCCAATCCAGTCTATCATCAATGGGCATTTGGGTTGGTTCCAGATCTTTGCTATTGTAAACAGTGCTGCAATGAACATTCGTGTACATGTGTCCTTATAGTAGAACGATTTATAGTCTTTTGGATATATACCCAGTAATGGGATTGCTGGGTCAAATGGAATTTCTATTTCTAAGGCCTTGAGGAATCGCCACACTGTCTTCCATAAAGGTTGAACTAATTTACACTACCACCAAGTGTAAAAGTGTTCCTTTTTCTCCACATCCTCTCCAGCATCTGTTGTCTCCAGTTTTTTAATGATCGCCATTCTAACTGGCGTGAGATGGTATCTCAATGTGGCTTTGATTTGCATCTCTCTGATGACCAGTGACGATGAGCATTTTTTCATATGATTGTTGGCCTCATATATGTCTTCTTTCGTAAAGTGTCTGTTCATATCCTTTGCCCACTTTTGAATGGGCTTGTTTTTTTTCCTGTAAATCCGTTTGAGTTCTTTGTAAATTCTGGATATCAGCCCTTTCTCAGATGGGTAAACTGCAAACATTTTTTCCCATTCTGTTGGTTGCCGATCCACTCTAGTGACTGTTTCTTTTGCCGTGCAGAAGCTGTGGAGTTTGATTAGGTCCCATTTGTCTCTTTTGGCTTTTGTTGCCAATGCTTTTGGTGTTTTGTTCATGAAGTCCTTGCCTACTCCTATGTCCTGGATAGTTTTGCCTAGATTTCCTTCTAGGGTTTTTATGGTGCCAGGTCTTACGTTTAAGTCTTTAATCCATCTGGAGTTAATTTCAGTGTAAGGTGTCAGGAAGGGGTCCAGTTACTGCTTTCTGCACATGGCTAGCCAGTTTTCCCAACACCATTTGTTAAACTGGGAATCCTTTCACCCCTGCTTGTTTTTGTCAGGTTTATCAAAGGCTGTATAGTTGTAGATATGTTGTATTGCCTCCGGTGCCTCTGTTTTGTTCCATTGGTCTATATCTCTGTTTTGGTACCAGTACCGTGCTGATTGGATTACTGTAGCCTTGTAGTATAGTTTGAAATCCGGTAGTGTGATGCCCCCCGCTGTGTTCTTTTTGCTTAGAATTGACTTGGCTATGCGGACTCTCTTTTGGTTCCATATGAAGTTCATGGTGGTTTTTTCCAGTTCTGTGAAGAAAGTCAATGGTAGCTTGATGGGGATAGCGTTGATTCTGTAATTTACTTTGGGCAGTATACCCATTTTCACGATGTTAATTCTTCCTAACCATGAACATGGAATGTTTCTCCATCTGTTTGTGTCCTCTCTGATTTCGTTGAGCAGTGGTTTGTAGTTCTCCTTGAAGAGGTCCCTTACGTTCCTTGTGAGTTTTATTCCAAGGTATTTTATTCTTTTTGTAGCGATTGTGAATGGCAGTTCGTTCTTGATTTGGCTTTCTTTAAGTCTGTTATTGGTGTAGATGAATGCTTATGATTTTTGCACATTGATTTTATATCCTGAGACTTTGCTGAAGTTGCTTATCAGCTTCAGGAGTTTTGGGGCTGAGGTGATGGGGTCTTCTAGGTATATTATCATGTCATCTGCAAATAGAGACAATTTGGCTTCCTCCTTTCCTATTTGAATACCCTTTATTTCTTTTTCTTGCCTGATTGCTCTGGCTAGAACTTCCAGAACTATATTGAATAGGAGTGGTGAAAGAGGGCATCCTTTTCTAGTGCCAGATTTCAAAGGGAATGCTTCCAGTTTTTGCCCATTCAGTATGATATTGGCTGTTGGTTTGTCATAAATAGCTTTTATTACTTTGAGATACATTCTATCGATACCGAGTTTATTGAGGGTTTTGAGCATAAAGGGCTGTTGAATTTTGTCGAATGCCTTCTCTGCGTCAATTGAGATAATCATGTTGTTTTTGTTTTTGGTCCTGTTTATGTGGTGAATTACGTTTATAGACTTGCGTATGTTGAACCAGACTTGCATCCCCGGGATGAATCCTACTTGATCATGGTGAATAAGTTTTTTCATTTGCTGTTGCATTCGGCTTGCCAATATTTTATTGAAGATTTTTGCATCTATGCTCATCATGGATATTGGCCTGAAGTTTTCTTTTCTTGTTGAATCTCTGCCGGGTTTCGGTATCAAGATGATGTTGGTCCCGTAAAATGATTTGGGAAGTATTCCCTCTTTTTGGATTGTTTGAAATAGTTTTAGAGGGAATGGCACCAGCTCCTCTTTGTGTGTCTGGTAGAATTTGGCTGTGAACCCATCTGGACCTGGGCTTTTTTGTGTGGTAGGCTCTTAATTGCTGCCTTGACTTCTGACCTTGTTATTGGTCTATTCATAGTTTCAGCTTCCTCCTGGTTTAGGCTTGGGAGGATGCAGGAGTCCAGGAATTTATCCATTTCTTCCAGGTTTACTAGTTTATGTGCATAGAGTTGTTTGTAATATTCTCTGATGATGGTTTGAATTTCTGTGGAATCTGTGGTGATTTCCCCTTTATCATTTTTTATTGCATCTATATGGTTGTTCTCTCTTTTATTTTTAATCAATCTGGCTAGTGGTCTATTTTGTTGATCTTTTCAAAAAACCAGCTCTTGGATTTATTGATTTTTTGGAGGGTTTTTCGCGTCTCAATCTCCTTCAGTTCAGGTCTGATCTTAGTTATTTCTTGTCTTCTGCTGTGTTTTGAGTTTTTTTGATCTTGCTCCTCTAGCTATTTCAATTTTGACGATAGGGTGTCAATTTTGGATCTCTCCATTCTCCTCATATGGGCACTTATTGCTATATACTTTCCTCTAGAGACTACTTTAAATGTGTCCCAGAGGTTCTGGCACGTTGTGTCTTCGTTCTCATTGGTTTCAAAGAACTTTTTTATTTCTGACTTCATTTCATTGTTTACCCAGTCAACATTCAAGAGCCAGTTGTTCAGTTTCCATGAAGCTGTGCGGTTCTGGGTTGGTTTCTGTATTCTGAGTTCTAACTTGATTGCACTATGGTCTGAGAGGCTGTTTGTTATGATTTCAGTTGTTTTGCATTTGTTGAGCAGTGCTTTACTTCCAATTATGTGGTCAATTTTTGAGTAGGTGTGATGTGGTGCTGAGAAGAATGTATATTCTGTGGATTTGGGGTGGAGTGTTCTGTAAATGGCTATCAGGTTTGCTTGCTCCAGGTCTGAGTTCAAGCCCTGTATATCCTTTTTGATTTTCTGTCTGGTTGATCTGTCTAATATTGACAGTGGAGTGTTAAAGTCTCCCACTATTATTGTGTGGGAGTGTAAGTCTCTTTGTAAGTCATTAAGAACTTGCCTTATGTATCTGAGTGCTCCTGCATTGGGTCCATATATGTTTAGGATTTTTAGCTCTTCTTGTTGTATCGATTTTTTTACCATTATGTAATGGCCTTCTTTGTCTCTTTTGATCTTTGTTGCTTTAAAGTCTATTTTATCAGAGATGAGAATTGCAACTCCTGCTTTTTTTTTGCCCTCCATTTGCTTCATAAATCTTCCTCCATCCCTTTACTTTGAGCCTTTGTGTATCCTTGCATGTGAGATGGGTTTCCTGGATACAGCACACTGATGGGTTTTGGATTTTTATCCAATTTGCCAGTCTGTGTCTTTTGATTGGTGCATTTAGTCCTTTTACATTTAGGGTTAATATTTTTATGTGTGAATTTGATACTGCCATTTTGATGCTAAGTGGCTGTTTTGCCTGTTGGTTGTTGTAGATTCTTCATTATGTTGATGCTCTTTAGTATTTAGTGTGATTTTGGAATGGCTGGTACTGGTTGTTCCTGTCTATGTGTAGTGCCTCTTTTAGGAGTTCTTGTAAAGCAGGCCTGGTGGTGACAAAATCTCTGAGTACTTGCTTGTTCGCAAAGGATTTTATTTTTCCTTCACTTCTGAAGCTCAGTTTGGCTGGATATGAAATTCTGGGTTGAAAGTTCTTTTCTTTAAGAACGTTGAATATTGGCCCCCACTCTCTTCTGGCTTGTAGTGTTTCTGCCGAGAGACCTGCTGTGAGTCTGAGGGGCTTCCCTTTGTGGGTAACTCAACCTTTCTCTCTGGCTGTCCTTAGTATTTTCTCCTTTATTTCAACCTTGTTGAATCTGACGATTATGTGCCTTGGGGTTGCTCTTGCAGAATATCTTTGTGGTGTTCTCCATATTTCCTGCATTTCAGTGTTGGCCTGTCTTGCTAGGTGGGGGAAGCTTTCCTGGATGATGTCCTGAAGAGTATTTTCCAGCTTGGATTCATTCTCTTTGCCCCCTTCTGGTACACCTATCAAACGTAGGTTAGGTCTTTTCACGTAGTCCCACATTTCTTGGAGACTTTGTTCATTCCTTTTTGTGCTTTTTTCTCTAATCTTGGTTTCTCGTTTAATTTCATTGAGTTGGTCTTCGACTTCAGATATTCTTTCTTCTGCTTGGTCAATTCGGCTATTGAATCTTGTGCATGCTTCACGAAGTTCTCGTATTGTGGTTTTCAGCTCCTTTAATTCATTCATATTTCTAAGTTATCCATTCTTGTTATCATTTCCTCATATCTTTTTTTAAGTTCCTTAGTTTCTCTGCATTGATTTAATACATGTTCTTTTAGCTCACAAAAGTTTCTCATTATCCACCTTCTGAAGTCTAATTCTGTCATTTCTTCACAGTCATTCTCTGTCCAGCTTTGCTCCCTTGCTGGTGAGGAGTTTTGGTCCTTTCTAGGAGGCGAGGTGTTCTGGTTTCGGGTGTTTTCCTCCTTTTTTCGCTGGTTTCTTCCCATCTTTGTGGGTTTATCCGCTTGTCGTCTGCGTAGTTGCTGACTTTTCGATTGGGTCTCTGAGTGGACACCCAGATTGTTGATGATGAAGTATTTCTGTTACTTGGTTTTCCTTCTACCAGCCTAGCCCCTTCGCTGTACGACTGCTGAGGTCCACTCTAGGCCCTGCTTGTCTGGGGTGCACCTCTAGCAGCTGTGGCACAGTGAGCGATGCTACCCGTTTCTTTTTCTGCTATCTTTGTCACAGGATGATGCCTGCCAAATGTCAGTCTTTTGGATATAGAGGGGTCAGGGAGCTGCTTGAGGAGACAGTCTGTTCTTTTTAGGAGCTCAATTTCTGAGCTGTGAGCTCTGTTGTTCATTCAAGGCTGTTAGGCTGCTATGTTTGATTCTGCTGCAACAGAGCTCATTTAAAAAACCATTTTTTTCTCAAATGCTCTGTGTTGGGGGGTTCAGGCTTTATTTTTCGATGTCCGTTGAGGTGTCCTGCCCAGCTAGGAGGCAGACTAGCCACTGTTTGCCTGCCGAGTCTCCGCCCTGCTGTTGTGTGATTCGCCCTGTTCCTGCAGGCTCTGCTGTGTTCTCCGCCACGCCCTGCATCAGAGTCTCTTCATTGTAGTATTTTGCCTTGGCAACGGCAGGCTGCGTCAGCTGTGGGCGTGTATCTCAGTAGGGACAGGTTGCCTCGGCAACGGGAGTCTGCTTCGGCAGTGGGCGTGTATCTCAGTAGGGACGGGTTGCCTCGGCAACGGCTGGCTGCGTCAGCAGTGGGCGTGTATCTCAGTTGGGGCGGGTTGCCTCGGTAGTGGTGGACGCCCCTCCCCCACAGAGCGTCTCGGACCGTCTGCTCGGGATAGTTTGAAATCGCGGTTTTGTTCATCCCACTGGGTACCCCGAACGCACTGTCCCTGCAATCCTTTGTGCTGGCCTACTGTCCAAGTCTCGTTCAGTCTCAAGTCCAGCCCTCTCAAGTCTCAGGTTGCCAGTTCAACAGGGCACCCGGAGAAGCGTGCCCTGTGGGGATTGCTGGGTAGGGCTGGCCGCCACCACCCCGGCTGCCAGCTTCACGAGGCAGATTTACTGCCTGGCGTCCCATGTCTCCCTTACACTTGGGAGTTTCCCCGTTCTGTGGGCAACAAAGATCAGTCTGGAAATGCAACTCTGACTCACCTCTTTGCGGATTCAATGAGAGCTCCAATCCTGGGTTGTTCTCACAGCGCCATCTTGAGTCCTACCCCCTAGATCAGAATTTCTCAAACTAATATTTGCTGACCAATTTGGAGGTATTTGCATATTCTCTATTGAAATATATCATGGAGAACTTATTAATTTAGGGTATTCACTTTGCTGATAATCTAAAGTAAGCACATTATGAGTAATATAGGTGGCTACTCATAGGTCCAGTTGGCCTTCGTGTTTGCAGTCAGATTGGTGCCAAGGAGTCCCACTTTAACTGACTCCAGCTATTTAGCAATTAACAGAGTTAGACTCAGAAGTAAATAAGACTTTTGCATCAAATGACTTCACAGTGCACTTGAGGAACAGAGGTGTTTCATTATTTCAAACATAAAAGGGTAATGAGAAAATTGCATCTTTTTGTAGCATCCAGTGGAAAATGCAGACCAAACCCAAGAGAACTGGAGCCACAGTCACTAACACTATGTTTCATATTGAAGGACTTATGTTAATTTATAGTTTGTTAATTTACAGAGGAGATAGTTGGGTGTAATATGTACATTTGTTTTGATAATAGCTACAAGCTATTAAAGCAGAAAGCATAAGTTTATTCTTACTTTTAGTTTGTATGTATTTAAGGAGTGTTGGAATTTAAAGAATTATATCAACAAAAGGGTAGTAAAAGAATTTTTAAAAAGTTCAATATGAACAGTATTAATCATATGAAAAGATGTTCCTCATCACACTTGAGACATTAAAATTGAAATCACAATGAGATATTCTTAACACCTTATTGAAAATGGCAAGCCTCTTTTCACATATACACTTCCTATCACCTGCCCTGTTTTTATTTCTCCAGAGCACTTGTCACTAACATAATTGTATTTTGCTTATCACATTTATTGCCTACCTTTTTTTCCACTGTACCTTCCCCCAGAATTTAAGCATGATAAAAACAGATTTTTGACCACCTTATCCACTGTAGTATCTTTGATTGCCTATAATGATGCCCAAAACATAAGAGGCACTGTATTATTTGCTGAAGGAATGAATTAAGACCAATGATCCAGCAATTACCCTCTGAGGCAGGGACCCTGCAGAAACTCTGTGTCATGTGCTCACAGAGACATATACGATGCAGTACCATTTGCAGTAGAAAAAAAATTGGAAAAACCCTAAATGTCTTCATAAAGAAATGAATAATTACATCATATGTTTATAGAAGGAAACTGAGCAATTAACATGAATTAAATTGATCGACATGGCTAAATATCAAAAACTTTCCTGAAAGAAAAAGGCGAATTACAAAAGACATGTGCAGTAATGTATAATGCCAGATAGGCAAGTTCTCCAAGTAAGGACAAGCTGAAGAGAGAGGAAGTGGACAGAATAGAAAGAACAAAAGGAGAGCTTTGTATGTGTCATTTTTATTATTCTAGAATTTTTTATCTGAAGAAAATATGGCAAAAGTAATGTTTGCTAAATCTGATTAGTGGGTACATGGGGGCATGTTCTATGTTTCTCTCTATTTTTCTGTTGAAAATATTTCATAATTTCTAAAGTATTCAATATAAGCAAAAATATTTCAGTTTCTTTTCCTGCATTAATAAGTAGTCCCCCTCTATAATAATGATAATGATAATAGTGATGATGATGATGATGGTTTTCTCTCTTCCTATTATCTTTTTCTTTCGTACATTTACTATTTTATTTCTCTTTACTTAGTGCTTTATTCGCCCCAAAAAAATTTGATATGGCTTACAACAGTAGATATGAGTAACAATCTAATAGGTTTCTTTTAAAAAAAAATGTACCATAATAAGACAGCTATTAGAGTAAACATTAATGCTATAATTGAGCCTTAAATTTTCCTCAAAGCTTCTTGAAGCTAGAATAACAAGCATGCACAACCAAGCAATTATGTAGTTCTCATTATTTAAAAGGATACCGAGAAGGGACTCAAGATGGTGCAGTGAGAACAACCCAGGATTGAAGCTCTCGGTGAACGTGCAAAGGGTGAGTTGGGGCCACATTTCCAGACGGATCTTTGTTGCCCACAGAACGGGGAAATTCCCAGGTATAAAAGAGACACAGGATGCCAGGCAGAGGTTTTGGCTGGTGCAGCTGGCAGCCGGTGCAGCCAGCGGCTGGCGCTGTAGCGCAGTGGCGCTCCACAGCACTCCACACAAAGTGCACTGGTCTGGGTGCCCTGTTGAACCGGCAATCTGAGACTTGAGAGGGCAGATTGGCATATCTATCTGACTTTACGGGACTTGGACAGTGAGCCAAGCGAGGAGATTCAAGGGTAACGGCGTCTGGGGTACCGCAGTGAGACAAAACGGCGATTCCAAACGCTCCAGGTGGAGAGTTTCACTGTGGGCACAGATGAACCCAGGACAGTGCAGCTCGGTAAGGAAGGGGCGTCCGCTATTACTGAGGCAAAGACCCCTACTGAGGTACAGGCCCGTTGCTGAGGCAACCCGCCACAACAGAGAGACTCCGCCACAGAGTGTAACCCGTGGCAGCAGAACGGAGGCCACAGCAGCAGGGCAGAGCCTGCAGAAACAGGACGGACCTCACACCAGCAGGGCGGAGCCTCGGAAGGCAAATAGTGACTGGACTGCCTCCTAGCTGGGAAGCACAGCGCAACAGACACTCACAAAGAAAGCCCCAAAACCCCGAGACAAAGCATCTGAAAAAAAAAGGGTTTTTTAATGAGTTCTGCAGCAGCAGAATTAAACATAGTAGCCTAACAGCCCTGAATGAACAACAGAGCTCACAGATCAGCACCTGAGCTCCTATAAAGTACAGACTGTCTCCTCAAGCAGCTCCCTGACCCTTCTATATCCAGAAGACTAACATTTGGCAGGCATCATTCTGGGACAAAGATAGCAGAAAAAGAAACTGGTAGCATCCCTCACTGTTCCGCAGCCACTATAGGTGCACCACAGAAAGGCAGGGCCTGGAGTGGACCTCAGCAGTCGTACAGTAAAGAGACTAGACTGGTAGAAGAAAACCAAGTAACAGAAATACTTCATCATCAACAATCTGGTCGACCACTCAGAGACCCAACCGAAAAGTCAGCAACTACTCAGTCGACAGGTGGATAAATCCACAAAGATAGAAAGAAACCAGAGCAAAAAGAAAAAAAACACCCGAAACCAGAACACCTCAACTCCTACAAAGGACAAAAACTCCTCACCAGCAAGCGAACGACGCTGGACAGAGAATGACTATGATGAAATGACGGAATTAGACTTCAGAAGGTGGATAATGAGAAACTTTTGTGAGCTAAAAGAACATGTCTTAAATCAATGCAAAGAAACTAAGAACCTTGAAAAAAGATTGGAGGTAATCATAACAAGAATGGATAACATAGAGAGGAATATGAATGAATTAAAAAAGCTAAAAACCACAATAAGAGTACGTCATGAAGCATGCACAAGTTTCAACAGCCGAATGGACCAAGCAGAAGGAAGAATATCAGAAGTGGAAGATCAACTCAATGAAATAAAATGAGAAACCAAGATCAGAGAAAAAAGCGCAAACAGGAATGAACAAAGTCTTCAAGAAATGTTAAACTATGTGAAGAGACCTAACCTACGTTTGATAGGTGTACCAGAATGTGACAAAGAGAATGAATCCAAGCTGGAAAATACTGTTCAGGACATTATCCCGAAAAATTTCCTCCACCTAGCAAGGCAGGCCAACACTCAAATGCAGGAAATACAGAGAACACCACAAAGATACTCCATAAGAAGAGCAACCCCAAGGCACATAATCGTCAGATTCAACAAGGTTGAAATATAGGAGAAAATACTAAGGACAGCCAGAGAGAAAGGTCGGGTCACCCACAAAGGGAAGCCCATGAGACTCACAGCAGATCTCTTGGCAGAAACACTACAAGCCAAAAGAGAGTGGTGGCCAATATTCAACTTCCTTAAAGAAAAGAACTTTCAACCCAAAATTTCATATCAAGCCAAACTGAGTTTCATAAGTGGGGGGAAAATAAAATCCTTTGCGAACAAGCAAGTACTCAGAGAGTTTGTCATGACAAGGCCTGCTTTAAAAGAGCTCCTGAAAGAGGCACTACACATAGAAAGAAACAACCAGTACCAGCCATTCCAAATTCACACTAAATGCTAAAGAGCATCAACATAATGAAGAATCTACAACAACTAACGGGCAAAACAGGCACTTAGCATCAAAATGGCAGTATCAAATTCACACATAACAATATTAACCCTAAAAGTAAATGGACTAAATGCACCAATCAAAAGAAACAGACTGGCAAATTGGATAAAATTATAAAACCCATGAGTGTGCTGTATCCAGGAAACCCAGCTCACATGCAAGGATACACAAAGGCTCAAAATAAAGGGATGGAAAAAGATTTACCAAGCAAATGGAGAGCAAAAAAAGAGCAGGAATTGTAATTCTCATCTCTGATAAGATAGACGTTAAAGCAACAAAGATCAATAGAGACAAAAAAGGCCATTACATAATGTTAAAGGATCGATACAACAAGAAGAGCTAACAATCCTAAACATATACGGACCCAATACAGGAGCACCCAGATACATAAGGCAAGTTCTTAACGACTTACAAAGAGACTTAGACTCCCACACAATAATAGTGGGAAACTTTAACAGTCTACTGTCAATATTAGACAGATGAACCAGACAGAAAATCAACAAGGATATCCAGGGCTTGAACTCAGACCTGGAACAAGCAACCTGATAGACATTTACAATACTCTCCACTCCAAATCCACAGAATATACATTCTTCTCAGTACCACATCACACCTACTCAAAAATTGACAACATAATTGGAAGTAAAGCACTCCTCAGCAAATGCAAAACAACTGAAATCATAACAGCCTCTCAGACCATAGTGCAATCAAGTTAGAACTCAGAATTCGGAAACCAACCACAACCACACAGCTTCATGAAACCTGAACAACTGGGTCTTAAATGTTGACTAAATAAACAATGAAATAAAGGCAGAAATAAAGAAGTAATTCAAAACCACTGAGAACAAAGACACAACATGCCAGAATCTCTGGGACACATTTAAAGCAGTCTCTAGAAAACAATATATAGAAATATGTGCCCATATGAGGAGAATGGAGAGAACCAAAATTGACACTGTATCGTCAAAATTGAAAGAGCTAGAGGAGCAAGATCAAAAAAACTCAAAACCCAGCGGAAGACCAAAAATAACTAAGATCAGAGCTGAACTGAAGAAGATAGAGACATGAAAAACCCTTCAAAAAATCAATAAATCCAGGAGCTGGTTTTTTGAAAAGATCAACAAAATAGACAAACCACTAGCCAGATTGATTAAAAAGAAAAGAGAGAACAACCAAATAGATGCAATAAAAAATGATAAAGGGGAAATCACCACAGATTCCACAGAAATTCAAACCATCATCAGAGAATATTACAAACAACTCTATGCACATAAACTAGTAAACCTGGAAGAAATGGATAAATTCCTGTACTCCTGCATCCTCCCAAGCCTAAACCAGGAGGAAGCTGAAACTATTAATAGACCAATAACAAGGTCAGAAGTCGAGGCAGCAATTAAGACCCTACCACATAAAAAAAGCCCAGGTCCAGATGGGTTCACAGCCGAATTCTACCAGACACACAAAGACGAGCTGGGACCATTCCTTTTGAAGCAATTCCAAATAATCCAAAAAGAGGGAATCCTTCCCAAATCATTTTATGAGACCAATATCATCCTGATACCAAAACCCGGCAGAGACACAACAAGAAAAGAAAACTTCCGGCCAATATCCATGATGAACATAGATGCAAAAATCTTCAATAAAATATTGGAAAGCCGATTGCAACAGCAAATCAAAAAACTTATCCATCATGATCAAGTAGAATTCATCCCGGAAATGCAAGGCTGGTTCAACATATGCAAGTCTATAAACGTAATTCACCACATAAACAGAACCAAAAACAAAAACCACATGATTATCTCAACTGACACAGAGAAGGCATTCGACAAAATTCAACAGCCCTTTATGCTAAAAACCCTCAATAAACTCGGTATCGATGGAACATATATCAAAGTAATAAAAGCTATTTAACAACAAACCAACAGCCAATATCATACTGAATGGGCAAAAACTGGAAGCATTCCCTTTGAAATCCAGCACTAGACAAAGATGCCCTCTTTCACCACTCCTATTCAATATAGTACTGGAATTTCTAGCCAGAGCAATCAGGCAAGGAAAAGAAATAAAGGGTATTCAAATAGGAAAGGTGGAAGCCAAATTGTCTCTATTTGCAGATGACATGATAGTATACCTAGAAGACCCCAAAAACTCCTGAAACTGATAAGCAACTTCAAAGTCTCAGGATATAAAATCATTCTGCAAAAATCACAATTATTCCTCTACACCAATAACACACTTAAAGAAAGCCAAATCAAGAACGAACTGCCATTCACAATTGCTACAAAAACAATAAAATACCTAGGATTAAAACTCACAAAGAATGTAAGGGACCTCTTCAAGGACAACTACAAACCACTGCTCAATGAAATCAGAGAGGACACAAACAGATGGAGAAACATTCCATGTTCATGGTTAGGAAGAATTAATATCGTGAAATGGCTATACTGTCCAAAGTAATTTACAGAATCAATGGTATCCCCATCAAGCTACCATTGACTTTCTTCACAGAACTGGAAAAAACCACCATGAACTTCATATGAAACCAAAAGGGAGCCTGCATAGCCAAGTCAATTCTAAACAAAAAGAACACAGCGGGGGGCATCACACTACTGGATTTCAAACTATACTACAAGACTACAGTAATCAAAACAGCATGGTACTGGTACCAAAACAGAGATATAGACCAATGGAACAGAACAGAGGCATTGGAGGCAACACAACATATCTACAACTATACAATCTTTGATAAACCTGACAAAAACAAGCAATGGGAATAGGATTCCCTGTTTAATAAATGGTGTTAAAAAAAACTGGCTAGCCATGTGCAGAATGCAAAAACTGGACCCCTTCCTGAAATCTTACACAAAATAAACTCCAGATGGATTAAAGACTTAAACATAAGACCTGGCACCATAAAAACCCTAGAAGGAAATCTAGGCAAAACTATCCAGGACATAGGAGTGGGCAAGGACTTCATGAACAAAATACCAAAAGCATTGGCAACAAAAGCCAAAACAGACAAATGGGACCTAATCAAACTCCACAGCTTCTGTACGGCAAAAGAAACAGTCACTAGAGTGAATTGGCAACCAACAGAATGGGAAAAAATTTTTGCAGTTTATCCATCTGACAAAGGGCTGATATCCAGAATTTACAAAGAACTCAAACAGATTTACAAGAAAAAAAACAAACAAGCCCATTCAAAAATGGGCAAAGGATATGAACAGACACTTTACAAAACAAGACATATATGAGGCCAACAATCATATGAGTAAATGCTCATCATCACTGGTCATCAGAGAGATGCAAATCAAAACCACATTGAGATACCATCTCACGCCAGTTAGAATGGCGATCATTAAAAAATCTGGAGACAACAGATGCTGGAGAGGATGTGGAGAAAAAGAAACACTTTTACACTGTTGGTGGGAGTGTAAATTAGTCCAACCATTGTGGAAGACGGTGTGGCGATTCCTCAAGGCCTTAGAAATAGAAATTCCATTTGACCCAGCAATCCCATTACTGGGTATATATCCAAAGAACTATAAATCGTTCTACTATAAGGACACATGCACACGAGTGTTCATTGCAGCACTGTTTACAATAGCAAAGATCTGGAACCAACCCAAATGCCCATTGATGATAGACTGGATTTGGAAAATGTGGCACATATACACCATGGAATATTATGCAGCAATCAGAAATGATGAGTTCGTGTCATTTGTAGGGACATGGATGAATCTGGAAAACATCATTCTCAACAAACGGACACAAGAAGAGAAAATGAAATACTGCATATTCTCACTCATAGGTGGGTGATGAAAAATGAGAACACATGGACACAGGGAGGGGAGTACTAAACACTGGGGTCTATTGGGGGGAAAAGGGGAGGGCCAGTGGGGGTGGGGGAGAGCTGGGGAAAAATAGCCTGGGGAGAAATGCCAAATGTGGGTGAAGGGCAGAAAAAAAGCCAAACACACTGCCATGTGTGTACCTATGCAACAGTTTGCATGTTCTGCACATATACCCCAAAACCTAAAATGCAATAAAAATTTTAAAAATAAATAAATAAATAAATAAAAGAATACCTTGAGAAAGGCAAAGTTTTTCCTGAAATTAAATTCTCAAAGAAATCTCTTCGGTATGATTTTATTTTCGGGAGACTAACATGGACAGTGTCCTCCAGAGCATTTTTACTAAAATTTCAAGTTGATTTTATTTGCTTTTTCTTGCAACCACTTTTTTTTAAAAGCCAAAGACTAACATCTTAATACCATTCTAGGAAAGGTATTCATTCGGTAGAAGCTAAAGTAACTTAGGCCTTTAGTCATCTAACTAAATCCAAAGATAAAACACGAAAATAGGCAAGAAGCATGTCTCTTACATAACTGCCCCTTAATATAATTTCCTTTAGACAAGCTATTGATAGACAGAAAGCAAACATTCATCAATTAAAGATTATAGTTACAGCTGGACCGACAGCTAACTTACTGAGCAAAGGTGAGTAGCTTTATTAAGTATCATTTGCCTCCTTTAGAAGATATAACTAGAAAAAGAAAATTATAAAATAAATGCCTGATTGATCAAAGCTTACCTGGCAAGATTCTATGTATTCTTTGATATTTGGCTATTCTTTAAGTCTCAAAGAAAAGCTATCCAGATTTTGTGGGCCAGGGATTATGTCTACCAGAAGATGCTGTGGTACTGGTAGCATTTTTGCACATATTTCTTGAATGCCTGTCGTGTAAACATACATAGCTAGGATTCAGGTTTGGGATAGTCCCAATAAAAGGCTGTAATTGACAGCCCACTTATCAATTGACTATTTCTGTTACTACCAACAAAATAAGGGAATGACAAATAATATCCAACAACATTGAACATAGGGTAGAAAATCAAGTAAAGCTAGAAAGAACTGTGATAATAATAATCACTTCCATTTGTATCACCCTTTCACCCTTTTATGCATGGTCTCATCTAATCCTCACAAGTATCTAACAGATAATTAATTGTAACAAAATTGAACAGTAATCATAACAAAATTTAACAGTGGTACTGAGCTTAAGGCAACTTGATGACTTGACCCAAATCACAAACGTGGTCAATAGTATAGTCAAGACCTGAACTCATGATTTGTAGCTGCAAACCCAGCAACCTTGTTGTAGTTCCAGGATAATCTTGAAACAACAACAAGTTATCCTGGAACTACACCAAGGTTGCTTCATTGCTAACCCTTCTCTTTCAAGGACAAGGCTTTGTGATCTTCATTCCATTTTCACACGGTTGGGAGGGTCATGCATGGATGTCTATCGAGCTTCACTACACCAACCCTCTCTGATAGAATAATAAAGTTTTCTTAAGAATCACATCATCTCTTAAATGTGGGAACCAACTACACAGAGGAAATGAATGTCATTTGGGAAGTTTTTTTAAAGGTTCTTTTTTTAAAACATACTTTAAGTTCTGGGGTACATGTGCAGAACGTGCAGGTTTGTTACATAGGTATACACGGGCCATAGTGGTTTGCTGCATCCATCCCTCCTAATATTAGGAGAAATATTACGTATTTCTCCTAATGTTAACCCTCTCCAATCTTCCCACCCCCTGACAGGCCCCATTGTGTGATGTTCCACTACCTGTGTCCATGTGTTCTCATTGTTCAACACCTACTTATAAGTGAAAACATGCGGTGTTTGCTTTTCTGTTCTTGTGTCAGTTTGCTGAGAAGGAAGGTTTCCAGCTTCATCCATGTCCCTACGAAGGACATGAACTCAACCTTTTTTATGACTGCATAGTATTTGATGGTGTATATGTACCACATTTTCTTTATGCACTCTATCGTTGATGGGCATTTGGGTTGAATTTAAGTCTTGCCTATTGTAAACAGTGCTGCAATAAACATATGTGTGAATATGTCTTTATAAGATAATGTTTTATAATCCTTTGGGTATATACCCAGTAGTGGAATGGCTGGGTCAAATGGTATTTCAAGTTCTAGATCCTTGAAAACTCACCACACTGTCTTCTACAATAGTGAAGTAATTTACACTCCCACAGTGTAAAAGCATTCCTATTTCTATATATCCTCTCCAGCATCTGTTATCTCCTGATTTTTTTTTTTAATTTTTTCTTTTTCTTTTTTTTTTTAATTTTTTTTTTTATTGGATTATAGGTTTTGGGGTACATGAGCAGAGCATGCAAGACAGTTGCGTAGGTACACACATGGCAGTGTGCTTTGCTTTTCTTCTCCCCTTCACCCACATTTGGCATTTCTCCCCAGGCTATCCCTCCCCACCTCCCCCTCCCACTGGCCCTCCCCTTTCCCCCCCAATAGACCCCAGTGTTTAGTACTCCCCTCCCTGTGTCCATGTGTTCTCATTTTTCATCACCCACCTATGAGTGAGAATATGCGGTGTTTCATTTTCTGTTCTTGTGTCAGTTTGCTGAGGATGATGTTTTCCAGATTCATCCATGTCCCTACAAACGACACAAACTCATCATTTCTGATTGCTGAATAATATTCCATGGTGTATATGTGCCACATTTTTCCAATCCAGTCTATTATCAATGGGCATTTGGGTTGATTCCAGGTCTTTGCTATTGTAAACAGTGCTGCAATGAACATTCGTGTACATGTGTCCTTATAGTAGAACGATTTATAGTCTTTTGGATATATACCCAGTAATGGGACTGCTGGGTCAAATGGAATTTCTATTTCTAAGGCCTTGAGGAATCGCCACACTGTCTTCCACAATGGTTGAACTAATTTAAACTCCCACCAACAGTGTAAAAGTGTTCCTTTTTCTCCACATCCTCTCCAGCATCTGTTGTCTCCAGATTTTTTAATGATCGCCATTCTAACTGGCGTGAAATGGTATCTCAATGTGGTTTTGATTTGCATCTCTCTGATGACCAGTGACGATGAGCATTTTTTCATATGATTGTTGGCCTCATATATGTCTTCTTTCGTAAAGTATCTGTCCATATCCTTTGCCCACTTTTGAATGGGCTTGTTTGTTTTTTTCCTGTAAATCTGCTTGAGTTGTTTGTAAATTCTGGATATCAGCCCTTTGTCAGATGGGTAGACTGCGAAAATTTTTTCCCATTCTGTTGGTTGCCGATCCACTCTAGTGACTGTTTCTTTTGCCATGCAGAAGCTGTGGAGTTTCATTAGGTCCCATTTGTCTATTTTGGCTTTTGTTGCCAATGCTTTTGGTGTTTTGTTCATGAAGTCCTTGCCTACTCCTATGTCCTGGATAGTTTTGCCTAGATTTCCTTCTAGGGTTTTTATGGTGCCAGGTCTTATGTTTAAGTCTTTAATCCATCTGGAGTTAATTTTAGTGTAAGGTGTCAGGAAGGGGTCCAGTTTCTGCTTTCTGCACATGGCTAGCCAGCTTTCCCAACACCATTTGTTAAACATGGAATCCTTGCCCCATTGCTTGTTTTTGTCAGGTTTATCAAAGATTGTATAGTTGTATGTATGTTGTGTTGCCTCCGGTGCCTCTGTTTTGTTCCATTGGTCTATATCTCTGTTTTGGTACCAGTACCATGCTGTTTTGATTACTGTAGCCTTGTAGTATAGTTTGAAATCCGGTAGTGTGATGCCCCCCGCTGTGTTCTTTTTGCTTAGAATTGACTTGGCTATGCGGGCTCTCTTTTGGTTCCATATGAAGTTCATGGTGGTTTTTTCCAGTTCTGTGAAGAAAGTCAATGGTAGCTTGATGGGGATAGCGTTGATTCTGTAAATTACTTTGGGCAGTATAGCCATTTTCACGATATTAATTCTTCCTAACCATGAACATGGAATGTTTCTCCATCTGTTTGTGTCCTCTATGATTTCGTTGAGCAGTGGTTTGTAGTTCTCCTTGAAGAGGTCCCTTACGTTCCTTGTGAGTTGTATTCCAAGGTATTTTATTCTTTTTGTAGCAATTGCGAATGGCAGTTCGCTCTTGATTTGGTTTTCTTTAAGTCTGTTATTGGTGTAGACGAATGCTTGTGATTTTTGCACATTGATTTTATATCCTGAGACTTTCCTGAAGTTGTTTATCAGTTTCAGGAGTTTTTGGGCTGAGGCGATGGGGTCTTCTAGGTATACTATCATGTCGTCTAAAAATAGAGACAATTTGGCTTCCACCTTTCCTATTTGAATACCCTTTATTTCTTTTTCTTGCCTGATTGCTCTGGCTAGAACTTCCAGTACTATATTGAATAGGAGTGGTGAGAGAGGGCATCCTTGTCTAGTACCAGATTTCAAAGGGAATGCTTCCAGTTTTTGCCCATTCAGTATGATATTGGCTGTTGGTTTGTCATAAATAGCTTTTATTACTTTGAGATACGTTCCATCGATACCGAGTTTATTGAGGGTTTTTAGCATAAAGGGCTGTTGAATTTTGTCAAATGCCTTCTCTGTGTCAATTGAGATAATCATGTGGTTTTTGTTTTTGGTTCTGTTTATGTGGTGAATTACGTTGATAGACTTGCGTATGTTGAACCAGCCTTGCATCCCTGGGATGAATCCTACTTGATCATGATGAATAAGTTTTTTGATTTGCTGTTGCAATCGGCTTGCCAATATTTTATTGAAGATTTTTGCATCTATGTTCATCATGGATATTGGCCTGAAGTTTTCTTTTCTCGTTGGGTCTCTGCCGGGTTTTGGTATCAGGATGATGTTGGTCTCATAAAATGATTTGGGAAGGATTCCCTCTTTTTGGATTGTTTGAAATAGTTTTAGAAGGAATGGTACCAGCTCCTCCGTGTGTGTCTGGTAGAATTCGGCTGTGAACCCATCTGGACCTGGGCTTTTTTTGTGAGGTAGGCTCTTAATTGCTGCCTCAATTTCAGACCTTGTTATTGGTCTATTCATAGTTTCAGCTTCCTCCTGGTTTAGGCTTGGGAGGACACAGGAGTCCAGGAATTTATCCATTTCTTCCAGGTTTACTAGTTTATGTGCATAGAGTTGTTTGTAATATTCTCTGATGATGGTTTGAATTTCTGTGGAATCTGTGGTGATTTCCCCTTTATCATTTTTTATTGCATCTATTTGGTTGTTCTCTCTTTTCTTTTTAATCAATCTGGCTACTGGTCTGTCTATTTTGTTGATCTTTTCAAAAAACCAGCTCTTGGATTTATTGATTTTTTGAAGGGTTTTTCGTGTCTCAATCTCCTTCAGCTCAGCTCTGATCTTAGTAATTTCTTGTCTTCTGCTGGGTTTTGAGATTTTTGATCTTGCTCCTCTAGCTCTTTCAATTTTGACGATAGGGTATCAATTTTGGATCTCTCCATTCTCCTCATATGGGCACTTATTGCTATATACTTTCCTCTAGAGACTGCTTTAAATGTGTCCCAGAGGTTCTGGCACGTTGTGTCTTCGTTCTCATTGGTTTCGAAGAACTTCTTTATTTCTGCCTTCATTTCGTTGTTTACCCAGTCAACATTCAAGAGCCAGTTGTTCAGTTTCCATGAAGCTGTGCGGTTCTGGGTCGATTTCTGAATTCTGAGTTCTAACTTGACTGCACTATGGTCTGAGAGGCTGTTTGTTATGATTTCAGTTGTTTTGCATTTGTTGAGCAGTGCTTTACTTCCAATTATGTGGTCACTTTTAGAGTAGGTGTGATGTGGTGCTGAGAAGAATGTGTATTCTGTGGATTTGGGGTGGAGAGTTCTGTAAATGTCCACCAGGTTTGCTTGCTCCAGGTCTGAGTTCAAGCCCTGGATATCCTTGTTGATTTTCTGTCTGGTTGATCTGTCTAGTATTGACAGTGGAGTGTTAAAGTCTCCCACTATTATTGTGTGGGAGTCTAAGTCCTTCTGTAAGTAATTAAGAACTTGCCTTATGTATCTGGGTGCTCCTGTGTTGGGTCCATATATGTTTAGGATCGTTAGCTCTTCTTGTTGTATCGATCCTTTTACCATTATGTAATGGCCTTCTTTGTCTCTTTTGATCTTTGTTGCTTTAAAGTCTATTTTATCAGAGATGAGAATTGCAACTCCTGCTTTTTTTTGCTTTCCATTAGCTTGGTAAATCGTCCTCCATCCGTTTATTTTGAGCCTTTGTGTATCCTTGCATGTGAGATGGGTTTCCTGGATACAGCACACTGATGGGTTTTGGCTTTTTATCCAATTTGCCAGTCTGTGTCTTTTGATTGGTGCATTTAGTCCATTTACATTTAGGGTTAATATTGTTATGTGTGAATTTGATACTGCCATTTTGATTCTAAGTGGCTGTTTTGCCTGTTAGTTGTTGTAGATTCTTCATTATGTTGAAGCTCTTTAGCATTCAGTGTGATTTTGGAATGGCTGGTACTGATTGATCCTTTCTATGTGTAGTGCCTCTTTTAGGAGCTCTTGTAAAGCAGGCCTGGTGGTGACAAAATCTCTGAGTACTTGCTTGTTCACAAAGGATTTTATTCTTCCTTCACTTCTGAAGCTCAGTTTGGCTGGATATGAAATTCTGGGTTGAAAGTTCTTTTCTTTAAGAATGTTGAATATTGGCCCCCACTCTCTTCTGGCTTGTAGTGTTTCTGCCAAGAGATCTGCTGTGAGTCTGATGGGCTTCCCTTTGTGGGTGACCCGACCTTTCTCTCTGGCTGCCCTTAGTATTCTCTCCTTTATTTCAACCCTGTTGAATCTGACGATTATGTGCCTTGGGGTTGCTCTTCTTGCGGAATATCTTTGTGGTGTTCTCTGTATTTCCTGCAATTGAGTGTTGGCCTGTCTTGCTAGGTGGGGGAAATTTTCCTGGATGATGTCCTGAAGAGTATTTTCCAGCTGGGATTCATTCTCTTCGTCCCCTTCTGGTACACCTATCAAACGTAGGTTAGGTCTTTTCACATAGTCCCACATTTCTTGGAGACTTTGTTCATTCCTTTTTGCGCTTTTTTCTCTGATCTTGGTTTCTCGTTTTATTTCATTGAGTTGGTCTTCGACTTCAGATATTCTTTCTTCTGCCTGGTCAATTCGGCTATTGAAACTTGCGTTTGCTTCGCGAAGTTCTCGTATTGTGTTTTTCAGCTCCTTTAATTCATTCATATTCCTCTCTAAGGTATCCATTCTTGTTATCATTTCCTCGAATCTTTTTTCACATCTTTTTTCAAGGTTCTTAGTTTCTTTGCATTGATTTAATACATGATCTTTTAGCTCACAAAAGTTTCTCATTATCCATCTTCTGAAGTCTAATTCCGTCATTTCGTCACAGTCATTCTCCGTCCAGCTTTGTTCCCTTGCTGGTGAGGAGTTTTGGTCCTTTCTAGGAGGCGATGTGTTCTGGTTTCGGGTGTTTTCCTCCTTTTTGCGCTGGTTTCTTCCCATCTTTGTGGATTTGTCCGCTGGTCGTCTGCGTAGTTGCTGACTTTTCGTTTGGGTCTCTGAGTGGACACCCAGAATGTTGATGATGAAGTATTTCTGTTGCTTGGTTTTCCTTCTACCAGTCTAGCCCCTTCGCTGTACGACTGTTGAGGTCCGCTCCAGGCCCTGCTTGTCTGGGGTTCACCTCTAGTAGCCGTGGCACAGCGAGGGATGCTACCAGTTTCTTTTTCTGCTCTCTTTGTCCCAGGATGATGCCTGCCTAATGACAGTCTTTTGGATATAGAGGGGTCAGGGAGCTGCTTGAGGAGACAGTTTGTACTTTATAGGGGTTTAATTGCTGAGCTGTGCACTCTGTTGTTCATTCAGGGCTGTTAGGCTGCTATATTTGATTCTGCTGCAACACAGCTCATTAAACAACCCTTTTTTTTTTCTCAAATGCTCTGTGTTGAGGGGTTTGGGCTTTATTTTTTGATGTCCGATCAGGTGTCCTGCCCAGCTCGAAGGCAGACTAGCCACTGTTTGGCTGCCGAGGCTCCGCCCTGCTGTTGTGTGATTCGCGCTGTTCCTGCCGGCTCTGCTGTGGTCTCCGCCACGCCCTGTGGCGGAGTCTCTTCGTTGTAGCGTGTTGCCTCAGCAACGGCAGGCTGCGTCAGCAGTGGGCGTGTATCTCAGTAGGGACGGGTTGCCTCGGCAACGGCTGGCTGCGTCAGCAGTGGGCGTGTATCTCAGTTGGGGCGGGTTGCCTCGGCAACGGCTGGCTGCCTCAGCAGTGGGCGTGTATATCAGTTGGGGCAGGTTGCCTCCGTAGTGGTGGACGCCCCTCCCCCACAGAGCGTCTCGGACCGTCTGCCCGGGATAGTTTGAAATCGCTGTTTTGTTCGTCCCACTGGGTATCTCAAGCGATCTGTCCCTGCAATCCCCTGGGCTGGGCCACTGTGCAAGTCTCGTTCAGTCTCAAGTTCAGCCCTCTCAAGTCTCAGGTTGCCGGTTCAACAAGGCACCCGGACAAGCGCGCCCTGTGGGGATTGCTGGGTAGGGCCGGCCGCCGCCGCCCCGGCTGCCGGCTTCGCCAGGCAGACCTACTGCCTGGCGTCCCGTGTCTTTTTATACTTGGGAGTTTCCCCGTTCTGTGGGCAACAAAGATCAGTCTGGAAATGCAGCACTGACTCACCGTTTGCGAATTCAACGCGGGCTCCAATCCTGGGTTGTTATCACAGCGCCATCTTGAGTCCCCTCCGACCTATCTCCTGATTTTTTAATGATCACCATTCTAACTGGTGTGAGATGGTATCTTCCTATGGTTTTGATTTTCATTTCTCTAATGGCCAGTGATAATGAGCATTTTTTCATATGTTTGCTGGCTACATAAATGTCGTCTTTTAAGAAGTGTCTGTTCATATCCTTTGCCCACTTTTTGATCGGGTTGTTTATTTTCTTGTAAATTTTTTTAAGTTCTTTGTAGATTCTGATTATTAGCCTTTGTCAGATTGCAAAATTTTTTTCCCATTCTGTTGGTTGCTGGTTCATTCTAATGATTGTTTCTTTTGCTGTATAGAAGCTCTGGAGTTTAATTAGGTCCCATTTGTCTATTTTGGCTTTTGTTGCCAATGCTTTTGGTGTTTCAGTCATTAAGTCCTTGCCTATGCCTATGTCCTGAATGATATTGCGTAGGTTTTTTTCTAGGATTTTTATGGTGTTAGGTCTTATGTTTAAGTCTTTAATCCATCTGGAATTAATTTTTGTATAAGGTATCAGAAAGGGGTCCAGTTTCTGCTTTCTGCACATTGCTAGCCAGTTTTCACAACATCATTTATTAAACAGAAAATCCTTTCCCCATTGCTTGTTTTTGTCAGGTGTGTCAAAGATCAGATGGTTGTAGATGTGTGGCATTGCCTCCAAGGCCTCTTTTCTGTTCTATTAATCTATATCTCTGTTTTGGTACCAGTACCATGCTGTTTTGATTACTGTAGACTTGTAGTACAGTTTGAAGTCAGGTAGTGTGATGCCTCTGGGCTTTGTTCTTTTTGCTTAGGATTGTCTTGGCTATGCGGGCTCTCTTTTGATTCCATATGAAGTTTAAGGTGGTTTTTCCAGTTCTGTGAAGAAGGTCATTGGTAGCTTGATGGGGATAGTGTTGAATCTATGATATTGTTTCTTCCTAACCATGAGCATGGAATGTTTTTCCATCTGTTTGTGTCCTCTCTTATTTCCTTGAGCAGTGGTTTGTATCTCTCCTTGAAGAGGTTCTTCATATCCTCTCTTAGTTGTATCCCTAGGTATTTTATTCTCTTTGTAGCAACTGTGAATGGGAGTTCTCTCTTGGTTTGGCTCTCTGTTAGGCTATTATTGGTTTATAGAAATGCTTGTGATTTCTGCACATTGATTTTGTATCCTGAGACTCTGCTGAAGTTGCTTATCAGTTTCAGGAGATTTTGGGCTGAGAAAATGGGGTCTTCTATATGTACAATCAAGTTCTTTGCAAATAGAGACAATTTGACTTCTTCCTTTCCTAACTGAATACCCTTTATTTCTTTTCCTTGCCTGATTACTCCAGCTAGAACTTCCAATACTGTATTGAAAAGGAGTGAAGAGAGAGAGTCTAGTGTCAGATTTCAAAGAAAATGCTTCCAGTGTTTGCCCATCCAGTATGATTTTGGCTGTGGGTTTTTCATAAAAAGCTTTTATTATTTTGAGATACGTTCCCCATTGATGCCTAGTTTATTTAGAATTTTTAGCAAAAAGTGCTGTTGAATTTTGTCAAAGGCCTTCTCTGCATCTACTAAAATAATCATGTGGTTTTTGTCTTTGGTTCTGTTTATGTGGTGGATTACGTTTATAGACTTGCGTATGTTGAAGCCTTGCATTCCCGGAATGAAGCCTACTTGATCATGATAGATAAGATTTTTGATGTGCTGTTGTGATCGGTTTGCCAGTATTTTATTGAAGATTGTTGCATCTATATTCATCATGGATATTGGCCTGAAGTTTTTGTTTTTTGTTAAGTCTCTGCCGGGTTTTGGTATCAGGATAATGTTGGTCTCATAAAATGATTTGGGAAGGATTTCCTCTTTTGAATTGTTTGGAATAGTTTAAGAAGGAGTGCTACCAGCTCCTGTTTGTATGTCTGGCAGAATTCAGCTGTGAACCCACCTGGTCCTGGATTCTTTTTGATTGGTAGGCTATTAATTGATGCCTCAACTTCAGCCCTTGTTATTGGCCTATTCAGGGTTTCAACTTCTTCCTGGTTTAGTCTTGGGAGAGTGCAAGTGTCCAGGAATTTATCCATTTCTTCCAGGTTTACTGGTTTATGTGCATAGAGTTGTTTGTAGTAAACTCTGATAGTAATTCGTATTTCTGTCAAATCAGTGGTGATATCCCTTTTATCGTTTTTTTATTGCATCTATTGGATTCTTCTCTCTTTTCTTTTTTATTAATCTGGCTAGCAGTTTGTCTATTTTGTTGATCTTTCAAAAAACCAGCTCCTAAAATTATTAATTTTTGAAGGGTTTTTTGTCTATCTCTTTCAGTTCTGCTCTGATCTTAGTTATTTCTTGTCTTCTGCTAGCTTTTGAGTTTTTTTTAATCTTGCTCCTCCAGCTTTTTCAATTTTGATAATATGGTGTGATGAAAGGATATTTAATATCTAGAATAAGAGTCAGGCACCACACTATACACTTAGTTTGCACTTAAAGTGTCTGAGTTTTATGAGAATGGCATAGCTAGTGTGAAAAACTCTGGTACAACAAAAGGACGAAATCTCTCTGCTGGAAAAACACACTTTTCTATCCACACCTCAGAGACTGAGTTTAATATCAGGATGACTCATTTTTAAAACTCTACCTTTTTCAGTGATAATTTATGTTTTAATTTTTATGAGTACATAGTAGGTGTATATATTTATGGGTTACATGAGATATTCTGATATAGGCATGCAATGTGTAATCATGGCAGAATAAAGGTAGCCATCATTTCAAGTATTTAACTTTTGTAATACAAACAATCTAATCCAACATATACAAAAGAATATAATCCAATTATAATCATTTAGTTATTTTTAAAGGTGCAGTTATTTTTTACTATAGTCACCCTGTTTTGCCAACAACTACTAAGTCTTATTTATTCTTTCTAAATATTTTTGTAACCATTAACCATCTCTACTTCCTCCCCTCCCACCCTTTGCAATACTCTTCCCAGCTTCTGGTAATCATCCTTCTACCCTCTATCTCCATGAGTTCAATTAATTTTTAATGCTCACAAATGAGTGAGAATATGTGGAGTTCATCTATCTGTGCCTGGTTCATTTCACTTAAGATAATGACCTCTAGTTCCATCCATATTGTTGCAAATCACAGGATCTCACTCTTTTTTATGGATGAATAGTAGTCCATGGTGTATATGTACCACATTTTCTTTATCCATTCATCTGCTGATGGAACTTAGGTGTTTTTCAAATCTTGGTTACTATGAATAGTGCTGTAATAAACGTGAGTGCAGGTATCTCTTTGAAATCCTCGTTTCCTATCTTTGAGGTATATACATGAAAGTGGGATTGCTGGATCATATGGTAGCTCTATTTTTAGTTTTGGTGGGGAACCTCAAAACTTTTCTCCATAGTGATTGTACTAATTTACATTCCCACCAACAATGTATGAGAGTTCCCTTTGCTTCACATCCTTAGAAGCATTCGTTAGTGCCTGACTTTGGGATATAAGCTATTTTAACTGTGATGAGATGACAGTTCATTGTAATTTTGATTTGAATTTCTGTGATGATCAATGATGTGGTACACCTTTTCATGTACCTGTTTGCAATTTGTATTTCTTCATTTAAGAAATGTCTATTCAGGTCTTTTGCCCATTTTTAAATTGGATTATTAGCTTTTTTCCCCCTCATAAAGTTGTTTTAGCTTCTTATATATTCTGGTTATTAATCACTTGTCAGTTGGGTAGTTTGCAAATATTTTCTCCTATTCTATAAATTGTCTCTGCACTTTGATGACTGTTTCCTTTGCTGTGCAGAAGCTTTTTAACATGATGTGACAAACCCCATTTGCCCATTTTAGCTTTGGTTGCCTGTGCTTGTGAAGCATCATTCAAGAAATCTTTGCCCAATCTAGTGTCCTGGAGATTTTCTCTGATGTTTTCTTTTACTAGTTTCATAGTTTAATAGTTTCATAGTTGAAGTCTTAAATTTTAGTACTTAATCTATTTTGACTTGATTTTTGTATATGGCAAGAGATAGGGCTCGTTTCATCCTTCTGCAAATGGATATCCAGTTTTCTCAGCACCATTTATTAAAGCACTGTTCTTTAACCAATGTATGCTCTCAGCACCTTTGTCAAAATGAGTTTGCTGTAGATATGAGAATTTATCTCTGTTTTCTCTATTCTGTTCTGCTAATCTACATGCCTGTTTTTATGACAGTATCATGCTGTTTGGGTTACTACAGCTCTGTAGTAGAAATTAAAGTGAGATAATGCAATTCCTTCAGTTTTGTTCTTTTTGCTTCTGAGTCTTTTGTGATAGCATATAAATTTTAGGATTTTTTTTTTCTATTTCTGTGAAGAATGTCATTGGCATTTTAATAGTGATTACACTAAATCTGTAGAGTGCTTTGGGTAGTGTGAGCATTTTGACAATATTGATTCTTCCAATCCATGAATGTGAAATATTTTCCCATTTTTATGTGTCCTCTTCAATTTCTTGCATCAGTGTTTTATCGTTTTCATTGTAGAGATCCTTCACTTTTCTGGTTATGTTAATTTCTAGGTATTTTATTTTATTTGTAGCTACTGTAAACGGGGTTGCTTTTTTCTTTTTCTTTTTTTTTTTTTTTTTTTTTTTTGAGACAGAGTTTCGCTCTTGTTACCCAGGCTGGAGTGCAATGGCGTGATCTCAGCTCACCACAACCTCCGCCTCCTCGGTTCAGGCAATTCTCCTGACTCCGCCTCCCAAGTAGCTGGGATTACAGGCGTGTGCCACCATGCCCAGCTAATGTTTGTATTTTTAGTAGAGACGAAGTTTCACCATGGTCACCAGGATGGCCCCAATCTCTTGACTTCGTGAACCACCTGCCTCGGCCTCCCAAAGTGCTGGGATTACAGGCTTGAGCCACCGCGCCCAGCCCGGGGTTGCTTTCTTAATTTCCTTTTCAGATTGTTTGTGGTTGATATATAGAAATGCTACTGATTCTTTAATGTTGATTTTGTATCCTACAACTGTACTGAATTTATCACTTCTACTAGTTTTTAGTGGAGCCTAGACTTTTCCAAATATAAGATTATATCATCTGCAAACAAGGATAATTTGGCTTTTTCCATTCCAATTTTGATGCCCTTTATCTCCTTCTCTCATTTGATTGCTCTAGCTAGAACTTCCAGTATTATGTTAAATAACAGTGGTAAAAGTGGTTGTGTTGATCTGAAGTGAAGGCTTTCAGTTTTTCCCCATTTGGTATGATACTAGCTGGACTCTGTCACATGTGGCTTTTATTTTGTTGAGGTATGCCTTCTATACCCAGTTGTTTGAGGGCGTTTGTCACAAAGCGATGTTGAATTTTCGTGCCTTATTTAGTTAACTTGCTGAGATCATGTTTTCCTAGATGGTCTTTGTGTGTGTGGATGTTTGTCTGTGCCTGGTCATTGAAGAGTTAGATATTTACTGTAGTCTTCACAGTCTGGGCTTGCTTGTATTCATCCTTCTTGGAAAGGCTTTCTAGGTTTTGAAAGGACTTGTGTATTGTGATCTAAGTTATATCTGCCTTACGGGGGCACTCAAAGGCCAGTAACACTGTGGTCCTTACAAACTTGTATAGGTACTGCCTTGATAGTCTTGGATAAAATCTAGAAGAATTATCTGGATTACCATGCAGAGACTCTTGTTCTCTTTTCTTACTTTCTCCTAAACAGACTGTTTCTCTGTTGTGAGCCACCTGGAGCAGGGAGACGTAAAACACAAGCATGCCTGTGGCCACCACCACTATGACTCCACAGGGTCTCACCCAAGACCCACTATAACCACTACCTGGCTACCACCTATTTTCACTCAAGGCTTTAGGGCTTTACAGTAAGAAGGTGGCAAAACTAGCCAGGTTTGTGTCCTTCCCTTCAGGGCAGCAAGCTTCCCCACGACACAGGTGGGTTCAATGGTGCCATCTGGGAGTCAGGGACTGGAATCAAAAATCTTAGAAGTCTATCTGGCATTCTATTCTGCCATGACTCAGCCAGCAAGCAAACCATGTGATATAGTTCTTCCCACTCTTCCCTCTCTTTTAAACTGGCAGAGGAGCCTCACCCCAGGGCAACCACCATGACAGTACTATGGGGAGTATTGCCAGGCTACCACTACTGTTCCCTTAAAACCCAAGAACAGTTCAGTCAGCTTGTGGTAAATGCTGCTAGGTCTGGGACTCACCCTTCAGAGTTCTGGGCTCCTGTCTTACCCAGGACAGGTCCAGAAATGCCATCCAAGAGCCAAGGCCTGGAATCAGGGACCCCAAGAGCCCACTTGGTGCTCTTCCCCTTTGTGGCCAAGGTAGTATTTAAGATATGAAAAAAAGTCCCCTTTGCTTTTCCCTCTGCTTTCCTAAAGCAGGAATCTTTTTCACCATAGCCACCACAGCTAAGAACTTGCTGGATCTCACCTGAAGTCAGCACATTCATGAGTCCCACCCAAGGCTCAGTGGCATGCTACCTGGGTATCATTGCAGGGTATTCAGAGCCCAAGCATTCTTTAGTCAGCAGGTTATGTGTCCTGGTAGTAATGTGTCCTTACCTTCAAGGAAGCACAAGTTCTCTTTTGACCCAGAGTATAACTAGAAATGTTGTCTGAAAACTAGGGTCTGGAATGGGGGCCTCAAAACTCTGCCTGGTGCCATATCCTACTGCAGCTGAGCTGGTATCCAAGATGTAGAACAATGCCCTCTTTGCTCTTCCCTCTCCTTTCCTCAAGTGGAAGGAAAAGGTCTCTTTTGGAGCCATGAGCTGTGCAGCCTGGGTTTGGGGGAGGGGTGGCACAAGCACTCCTCTTAGCCACCCTGGCTGGCATCTCAGCAGGTCACATGCCCCCCAAGACCACTGGCTCAGAGCCCAGTGCAGCATTAGGACTCACCTAGGAGTTGCAGTCATTGTGGCCTAGACTGCCTTTCAAGTTTATTTAGAGCCCCAGAGCACTTTAGCCCATGGTGCCAAGGTTTACAGAAACTCAAGTTCCAGTGGCTATGAGTGTTTCCTCTCTAGCTAGAACTGGTGTAAATATTCCTGCCATGGATGAGCGTCAGCTGAGTTCAGCCCAGTTTTGCTTTCTGCGGTGACAGGGCAGCACTGAACTCAAAGCAATGTTTCACAATTGCTGTACTCTCCCTCTCCAGAGCATACAATTCTTGTTGTCATGCAGCTGCAGTCACAGGATAGGAAAGGAGTGGTGTCAGCAATTCAAAACTGTCTTTCCTACCCTATTCGGTGTCTCTTTCAGCAATACAAAGTTAAAACCAGGTACTGAGTGTTCACCTGACTTTTGGTTCTTATGAAGGTGCTTTTTGTATAGATAATTGTTAAATTTGGTGTTCCTATGGTGGGGGGAGGCAATCAGTTGAGCCTTCTATTTGGCCATTCTGCTCTGCCTCCATGATGTATATTTTCTAGAGGAGGAGAAAGAGTGCTAAGAGTGCTAAGTTGAATGAAACAGCTTGCCTGAACAACCATAAAATATTTTAATTTAGTGCTAACACTGTTGCTTAGTGACAACCAGAAGCCTATTTGTCAAACTTAAATTTTAAGGTCTCATTTTAATTAACACATTGTGTTTATCTTGGGCCTGATTAAAGTTCTTTGGTGTAACATTAGGTAGAGTAAAATCAGGGACTTGGGCAGAAGTTTCAATTCCTATAAAGAATCACGTCAGTGTTCAAGGAAGATGGTCACATGTTATCACAGCTCCACTAAGAAGGAGATCCATGTGGAAGAATGTGCCTAATTGTTACCAGAATTTACTGTTTTTCTCCCTAGGACAAACTACTTAGAGTAGTTATAGCATAGATTCAGGTCTTAGAGTAGAAATAAGACATCAGAGGTCAGTTAGTGTAACCTGCCACCCAAGATCTTAACCCTACCTATCAAATTAAATCATTTATTCAATAAATATTTTGAGAACCTACTATGCACCAGCCACTATAACAGATACCTTTAATGTATTCTAAACATGAGAGGCAAGTATCCCAAAATCATGAATATAAAAATCTAATCAATGAGACAAAGTAAATGTGTTTACTAACACATGAATAATTACAGATTTTGATACAGTCTTTGAAAGAAATCCACCAATTCTTGGATAGAGAACAACATAGGGTAAAGTGCATCTAATTACAAACAGGATGGTCAGTTAAGTCTATCCTGAAAAGGTGACATTTGAGCTGACTTCTAAAAAAAGAAGAAACATACCACGCCAGGAGCTGATAAAACAGCATTCCAGTTAAATGAAACAGCCAGTGCAAAGACTCTAAGAGTATTTATACCAAGCAAAAAAGGGAAAGAGGTGAAGCTAAAAAAGTCGACAGAGGTTAGGTGATGCATCCCTGTTGACAATGACAGAAAGTTTGGCCTTTACCTAAAATACAATAGGAAGAATCTGAAAAGGGTAATGGCAGAATGTGATTTATACTGAAAAGAGAGCTCCACCATATATCATCCCCCTGGAATAAGAATGCCCCTATGTAAACTGGCAAGCTAGGTGCCAGTTGCTTTAGAACATCCAGACTCCTCATAGCCCAGATGATTACTAAATATTTTATGTAAGAATATGTCTATAGTTCATCCTGTAATAATATTATTAATCATAGTAGTGGCGATGATAATGATGGTAGTAGTAGCAGCAGCAACAGCAGCTAGTATTTGTTGAGTGCTTAATATATGACAGGCACTATTTTACATGTTAGTTCATCTAATCCTAACAAGAATGCAAAAAAGTAGGCTCAATTATTATCCCTATTTTACAAATGAGTAAACTGAAGCTACATGCCCAATAATTAAATCTTTTCTTTTTGAATGGATTCTTGTTTTATTGCTGTAATTCAGCTAAGCATCTTTTCTTTTTTTTCTTTTCTTTTTTTTTTTTTTTTCTTTTTTATTGGATTATAGGTTTTGGGGTACATGAGCAGAGCAGGCAAGACAGTTGCATAGGTACACACATGGCAGTGTGCTTTCTTTTCTTCTCCCCTTCACCCACATTTGGCTTTTCTCCCCAGGCTATCCCTCCCCACCTCCCCCTCCCACTGGCCCTCCCCTTTTCCCCCCAATAGACCCCAGTGTTTAGTACTCCCCTTTCTGTGTCCATGTGTTCTCATTTTTCATCACCCACCTATGAGTGAGAATATGCGGTGTTTCATTTTCTGTTCTTGTGTCAGTTTGCTGAGGATGATGTTCTCCAGATTCATCCATGTCCCTACAAACGACACAAACTAATCATTTCTGATTGCTGCATAATATTCCATGGTGTATATGTGCCACATTTTTCTAATATTTTTTGTTATTTCTTCTTTGACCCAAAATTTATTTAGAAGTGTGCTGCTTAATGTATAAACATCTGAGGATTTTCTAACTCTTTTTCTATTACGGAATTATAGTTGAATTCCACTTTAGTGAAAGAACACTGTATAGTATTTCAATTATTTGAAATTAGTTAAGATTTTCTTTAGGCCCTTTTTTATTTAAGAAAAATATTTTCATAAATAGTCCATAGTTGCCTGAAAAGAATAGGCATTCCGCAGTTGTGTATAGTGCTCTATGAATGCAAATTAGCTCAAGTTGTTTAATGGTTTTGCTCAAATCTTCAATATTCTTTTTAACTTTTTGTGAGTGTGCTTATCAGTTACTGGGAGAAAGAATTAAAATATATTTGTTTATTTAATCTTGTCAATTTTTATGTATTTTAAAGTTATCTTCAGTATCACTGGTTTTTCCTTCTTATTGAATTGACTCAACATTAATAAATGTTTATCTGTATTTTCATTAATATTTTTTGCCTTAAAGTCTATTTTGATATTATGGACTTGCTGACTAGCTTTTAATGAGTATTTATTTGCATGACATATCTCTTCCATAATTTTAGTTTCAACTTATTTGTGACCTTTTATTCAGTAAATTGCTTGTATAAAAAAGACATAGTGGGGCCAGTAAGACATTTGCCTCTTAGTTGGAGTGTTTAGTTTATTTGCATTTAATATAATTGCTGATATATTAGGTTTAACCTTGATTTTGATATTTTTCTATTTATACCATCTGCTTTTTGTCCTTTGATCCTATCTTTTCTATCTTCCTTTGAATTACTTACTTTTTATTATTCCATTTTTAGCTTTTCTACTAGCTTTATATATTCTTGGTGGTCGTCCTAGAGATTTCAATATGCATTCTTGAATTATTACTAGTAATTTTAAATGTATACTTTTCCTATTTCCTTAATGTATCAATCTTAGAATATTTTAGTTCCTTTCCTTTCTCCTGCCCTGTATGCTACTGTTTTCATACGTGTTACTTCTACATGTTATAAAACCTAAGAGACATTTTTATTATTGGTACTTGAAATGGTCAATATTCTTTTTATTTACTCTTTCTGGCTATATTTCTTTTTTCCTTTAATTTTGTGCTGTTAACATGGCTCATATTCTTTCTTGTATTTCTTTCAATACAGATACAAATTACAAAATCTAGGCATTTATTTCTTTCATTTCTTGAAAATCTTATCACCACAGGTTCCACAGAAATTCAAACCATCATCAGAGAATATTACAAACAACTCTATGCACATAAACTAGTAAACCTGGAAGAAATGGATAAATTCCTGGACACCTGTGCCCTCCCAAGCCTAAACCAGGAGGAAGCTGAAACTATGAATAGACCAATAACAAGGTCTGAAGTTGAGGCTGCAATTGAGAGCCTACCACACAAAAAAAGCCCAGGTCAAGATGGTTTCTCAGCCGAATTCTACCAGACACACAAAGAGGATCTGGTACCATTCCTTCTGCCACTATTCCAAATAATCCAAAAGAGGAAATCCTTCCCAAATCATTTTATGAGACCAATATCATCCTGATACCAAAACCCAGCAGAGACTCAACAAGAAAAGAAAACTTCAGGCCAATATCCATGATGAACATAGATGCAAAAATCCTCAATAAAATACTAGCAAGCCGATTGCCGAAGCACATCAAAAATCTTATCCATTATAATCAAGTAGGCTTCATCCCAGAGATGCAAGGCTGGTTCAACATATGCAAGTCTATAAACGTAATTCACCACATAACAGAACCAAAGACAAAAACCACATGATTATCTCAATTGACGCAGAGAAGGCCTTTGACAAAATTCAACAGCCCTTTATGCTAAAAACCCTCAAGAAACTCGGTATCGATGGAACATATCTCAAAATAATAAAAGCTATTTATGACAAACCAAAAGCCAATATCATACTGAATGGACAAAAACTGGAAGCATTCCCTTTGAAATCCGGCACTAGACAAAAATGCCCTCTCTCACTACTCCTATTCAATATAGTACTGAAAGTTCTAGCCAGAGCAATCAGGCAAGAAAAAGAAATAAAGGGTATTCAAATAGGAAAGGTGGAAGACAAATTGTCTCTATTTGCAGATGACATGACAGTATATCTAGAAGACCCCATCGCCTCTGCCCAAAAACTCCTGAAACTGATAAGCAACTTCAGCAAAGTCTCAAGATATAAAATCATTCTGCAAAAATCACAAGCATTCCTATACACCAACAACAGACTTAAGGAGAGCCAAATCAAGAATGAATTGCCATTCGCAATTGCTACAAAAAGAATAAAATACCTAGGAATACAACTTACAAAGAACGTAACGAACCTCTTCAAGGAAAACTACAAACCACGACTCAACGAAATAAGAGAGGACACAAACAGATGGAGAAACATTCCATGTTCAAAGTTAGGAAGAATCAATATCGTGAAAATGGCCATATGGCCCAAACTAATCTACAGAATCAATGCTATCCCCATCAAGCTACCATTGACTTTCTTCACAGAACTATAAAAAACCACCATGAACTTCATATAAAACCAAAAGAGAGCCCGCATAGCCAAGTCAATTCTAAGCCAAAAGAACACAGCGGGGGGCATCACACTACCGAATTTCAAACTATACTACAAGGATACAGTAATCAAAACAGCATGGTACTGGTACCAAAACAGAGATATAGACCAATGGAACAAAACGAAGGTATCGGAGGTAACACAACATATCTACAACTATACAATCTTTGATAAACCTGACAAAAACAAGCAATGGGGAAAGAATTCCCTGTTTAATAAATGGTGTTGGGAAAACTGGCTAGCCATGTGCAGAAAGCGGAAACTGGACCCCTTCCCGACACCTTACACTAAAATTAACTCCAGATGGATTAAAGACTTAAACATAAGACCTGGCACCATAAAAACCCTAGAAGGAAATCTAGGCAAAACCATCCAGGACATAGGAGTAGGCAAGGACTTCATGAAAACAACACCAAAAGCATTGGCAAAAAAGCCAAAATAGACAAATGGGACCTAATCAAACTCCACAGCTTCTGCACGGCAAAAGAAATAGTCACTAGAGTGAATCGGCAACAAACAGAATGGGAATAAATTTTTGCAGTTTACCCATCTGACAAAGGGAGGATTTCCAGAATTTACAAAGAATTCAAACAGATCTACAAAAAAAAAAAACAAACAAGCCCATTCAAAAATGGACAAAGGATATGAACAGACACTTTACAAAAGAAGACATACATGAGGCCAACAATCATCTGTAAAAATGCTCATCATCACTGGTAATTAGAGAGATGCAAATCAAAACCACACTGAGATACCAACCCACGCCACTTAGAATGGCGATCATTAAAAAATCTGAAGACACAGGGAGGACTCAAGATGGCGCTGTGAGAACAACCCAGGATTGGAGCAAACAGGTGAGTCGGAGCTGCATTTCCAGACTGATCTTTGTTGCCCACAGAACGGGGAAACTCCCAAGTATAAAAAAAACACGGGATGCCAGGCAGTAGGTCTGCCTGGCGAAGCCGGCAGCCTGGGCGGCGGCGGCCGGCCCTACCCAGAAATCCCCACAGGGTGTGCTTGTCCAGGTGCCCTGTTGAACCGGCAACCTGAGACTTGAGAGGGCTGGACTTTAGACTGAACGAGACTTGGACAGTAGGCCAGCCCAGGGGATTGGAGGGACAGATCTTTTGGAATACGCAGTGGGACGAACAAAACCGGGATTTCAAACTATCCCGAGCAGAAGGTCTGAGACGCTCTGTGGGGAAGGGGCGTCCACCACTATCGAGGCAACCCGTCCCTACTGAGATACACACCCACTGCTGACGCAGCCTGCCGTTGCCAAGGCAACCCGTCCCTACTGAGATACACGCCCACTGCTGATGCAGCCTGCCATTGCCGAGGTAACACGCTACAACGAAGAGACTCCAAAGCAGGGCGTGGCGGAGACCACAGCAGAGCCTGCAGGAACAGGGTGAATCACACAACAGCAGGGTGGAGCCTCAGCAGCCAAACAGTGGCTAGTCTGCCTTCTAGCTGGGCAGGACACCTCAACGAAAATCAAAAAATAAAGCCTGAACGCCCCAACACACAGCATTTGAGAAAAAAGGGTTTTTTTAATGAGCTCTGTTGCAGCAGAATCAAACATAGCAGCCTAAAAGCCCTGAATGAACAACAGAGCTCACAGCTCAGAAATTGAGCTCCTATAAAGTACAGACTGTCTCCTTAAGCAGCTGCCTGACCCCTCTATATCCAAAAGACGGACATTTGGCAGGCATCATCCTGGGACAAAGATAGCAGAAAAAGAAATGGGTAGCATCCCTCACTGTGCCACAGCTGCTAGAGGTGCACCCCAGACAAGCAGGGCCTGGAGTGGACCTCAGCAGTCGTACAGCGAAGGGGCTAGGCTAGTAGAAGGAAAACCAAGTAACAGAAATACTTCATCATCAACAATCTTGGTGTCCACTCATAGACCCAATCGAAAAGTCAGCAACTACGCAGACGACAAGTGGATAAACCCACAAAGATGGGAAGAAACCAGCGAAAACAGGAGGAAAACACCCGAAACCAGAACACCTCGCCTCCTAGAAAGGACCAAAACTCCTCACCAGCAAGGGAGCAAAGCTGGATGGAGAATGACTGTGGCGAAATGACGGAATTAGACTTCAGAAGGTGGATAATGAGAAACTTTTGTGAGCTAAAAGAAAATGTATTAAATCAATGCAAAGAAACTAAAGAACTTAAAAAAAGATATGAGGAAATGATAACAAGAATGGATAGCTTAGAGAGGAATATGAATGAATTAAAGGAGCTGAAAAACACAATACGAGAACTCTGCGAAGCATGCACAAGTTTCAATAGCCGAATTGACCAAGCAGAAGAAA